AAAAAAGAAGCACACTCACTTGGATCAATATCATTGCTGATAAGCTCCAACACAACATTTCTCCCAATCTTATCAGCAAAAGAATCCAAATGTTTGACCAATGCCTCGTTAAAATCCTCTTTGTTCTTGTTCCTCACTGTAACAACTGCCCTCACCTTAAATTTCACTGCCTTTTCAGGCACAACCTTCACCAAATCCAAATCCTCAATAATTGCTGCAACAGGGGTTGTACCCTTCACAGCCCTGTTGACCACCGGTTGTACCCTTCTCCCCCCACGGGGCACAAAAAACCGGTTCTTTGGCCTGTTCAACAACAGCCGAGAAGACGAAGCATCTAGAAACGAAGATCTTTCAATCAAAGAGAAGCCCATGATTTCTCTTGCTAGTGCCATGATTTTAGCTGTAAGAAAAATAGAATTTTTTCAATAAAAATGGGATCTTTATTAGTTTTTCCTATTTCTTGAATGAACCCCCCCTTTTTTTACTATTTTTTATTTTTCTTTTTTGTAGGGTACTTTAGTTCTAACTTCTGTGTGTGATTTGTGTGCGAGCGTGCATATATAGCGATTATAGATACAGAAGGTGGTAGCACCATTTATCACCGGCCAGGCTACACGTTTTCAATTTTCTTGTTTTATGACCACATGCCAAATAATAACATATTTTAATGGGTTCGCTTTAATTAAAAAGTATTGTTTTCAGCTTTTTTTTTTTCTTTCTCTTTCCAATTTCGTGTTTCTATTTAAAATACAAACTTATCTGAATTTTCGTAGAATTTTCATGGTCTCATATTCATATGATCTCAAAGACTGCTGAGTCAAACTACCGAGTTGTGGAGTTTCTCAGATCCAACGCGTGCCCAGATTCCCTATAGAAAGTGCGACTTTTGGACTGTGGTTTTTTGTGTGTGAATTTTTAGCTTGATTGGACCTCTTTGTCCTCGTGTTTTTTGCAAAAATGGTGATTTTGACTTAGTGGATCAAAAAGCTTTCGATATAACATGCATGGGTAAATCTGCCTTTTGGAATAAAATTAAAAAAGAAGAAATCTTTTTTTTTTTTATAACATTAATTTGTTTTCATTTGGGAAGGAGATTAGGTGAGTTAACTCAATTTTCAAGCATTACGATTTGTTGGTGCCAATTTCACCATTTTGGTAGAAAACTTCTCAATTTGGCTCGAAAAGTGACTATTCTATCTAGCAAAGTGTCGATTTGAACCAGTAAAGGCACACATAGACTATCGACAATGTTGTTTTTCATGTTACAATGATTACTTGATTGTTAAAAATTAAAATTAATGTGGAGAATTGTTAATTATAACTTAAGTTGGATGAATAACTTGTAGTGAGTTGTTAAACACTACTCCCTCCTATTTTTTTTTAAATGTTATTTTGACTTTGTCAACAATTCACTAAATAAATGTCGTTTTGGATCTTTTATACATATTTTTTCATTATTACCTTCATTTATCTAATAAATACACTACATTTTCTTATATTCACTCTTCATCTTTTCTCAAAACATCCATCTCTATCCTCATTAATGAGGGTTATTATTGACAAAAAATGATTCTTAATTACTGTGCAACTTCTCAAAACAACATTTAGTAATAAAAATAGGAGGGAATAGTAGCAGTGTTAATTCTTAAAGAATTAAAGAGTGATATATTGTGAGTGCATTTAATGCATGCAAATAAAATAATGAATAATAATATTAAATCAATGTGTATGTAAATGTTAATGGTCAGGATATCTCCACGAATAACACAAAAATGTCTCGGACTATAGTACATATGCTATTATGAAGCCAAAATGTACACTAAATTAAGAAATCTTATAGAGCTAGCTGAGTGTATATATTATGACCCACACCATTATATTATTTGTAAATAATTATAAATAAACAAGAGATGTAATGCGATTGCTACATAACATATCTGCAGAATGATCATGATCACGTTAAGCGACTTCATAAAGACAACTGAAAAAATGACCAAATTTGACAATTGATCACAGTTGATTAATTAATTAGCAGATAATTGAAGGTAACAACTCATCTGACCAACTGAATGTATTAATTATTTATATATGAGTGATTGATAAATATATTATCATCATTGTAATTTATTACAGGTTAATTTTTAATGAGTTGAGTATATTTGTGTATAGATATGTTTATTTCGTCATGGCATGGTTAAATTAACAATTAGAAAATCATAACTATTAATTATTCTAAAAAATATGAAATGTATAAAATGGTGTATTTGTAAATTGAAATATTATATTTGTAATACTATCTAAATAATATTTGTAATACTATCTAAATACTACTACAGTGAATCAACAAAACTTAGTTATAAATAATTAATGTTTTTGTGTCTAGAGCAATATATTAGAACACTCATGGTAGGAATGTAATTTTTCTACATTTTGTTGGTTAGAAGTTAGAACTGTTACTATTCACCAACCTCTTCAATCATCTTCGGGGATAAAACCAATATTTTTCCGTTGTTTTAAAAGCAGCATTTTACTCAAACTCAAGCTTTGTTCAAATCCACAATTTTAATTGATTGATACTCTAATTCATTTTGTATAGTCTAATATTACCTACTGACTAGCATAACTTTAAGATAAAGGTTGATTCACTCTATTCATGAATATTACACAAGTCAAAATTATGTTGGTATATATGATTATTTTTACGTTAAGACCGTTACTTTAAAATAACGATCAAACAAGTAGATATGTATACTTTTACATCAGAATATCATACTTTAAAATCACAACATAAACAAAAATGTTGCAGTTCATAGCATAAACAAGTCAGATATATCGAACTCGAGTTCAGCTTATTTATTAATATTAACGAGTCGAGTTCGAGCCTCAACTAGTCGATCTCGAATTTTAACGAGTCGAACTATAAAAAATTATATAAAAATTATCTTTTCGAATCCTATTGAGTTGAACTGAGGCCGACTTTTAGACAAAGTAAATTCAAACTCAGTTTATTTATTAAACGAGTCAAACTTAAGTCTTAACGAGTTGGTTTTGTTTCACTATAAAATCTCAAATGAACATAGCTGTTCCAGCTGAAATACTTGGAATAATTCTACCACTTCTAATAGGAGTAGCCTTTTTAGGGCTAGCTGAACGTAAAGTAATGGCTTTTGTGCTCTAGAGGATATACAAATTACAAAGGTGCAGATTCTTTAAAAGATAGAATAATATAAAACATAGGATAAAAGTTTGGAGAAAAACAAGTTTGCTGGATTTTCGTTTGATTAAAATGGGTTGCTTTTTTTTCCAAATTAATATCGATATATAATATATAAAAAAAAGGTGTAGTTGTGACATTCGAGGCGTTTATTTTTCCGGCTGCGATTGCGTGCTGTGCATATGCAGTTGCCTAATTTATTTCTTTATTTAACCTTTTAGTCCATTTTTTATTTTTAAAAAATAATGAGTTTATGAATTTAAGAAAATTAATAATCATTCCATTGATTGCTATTTAATTTGTTTGCTTTTTTATATGGACGCGTAATGTTGAAAAAAATTAGGTGAATGAAATTGTAAATTAATTTTGTAACAAGAGTTATAATATTTTGATACCATGTTTTATATGTTTATAAATTAATAATCATTCCATTGATTGCTATATAATTTTACTTTTTACCCCATCCATCTGATCATCAATACATTTAAATAACAAAATACACTTTTCAATAAACTTCACTATTTTCCCGTTCTATGTTTTTTGTTCTCAATCATTTATATCCATTATTTTATCTTCATTATTTACTATTTTTCTATCACATTAACTATAATTGCTTCAATTTATCTCATATATATCAATTTATAATTTTAAAAATATTTTATACTTTCACCATAGTTAGGACATTTTTTTTTTCTCATCTATACATCCAATGGCACCCTTTAGTTACCCAACAACTTAGATAGAATATCCAACTAATAATCAATCCCTAAATCCAAACTTCTAATTATTGTGCTAATCCTCTAATATTTTCCCCCATTGATTCAATCATCCAAAAAAGGTTTTGCAACCACGACCATAGATGTAAGTAGAGACTGGATTTACACTTCAAACACTATAATGTGATTGAATTTAAAGTCACCTTTCAAATCTCAATAAAGAGAGAAAAAACAAGGTACAAGCACAAGTCTTCATACTCACTTTTCCATTTCATATTTAAAAACTCATTAAATCAAACACACGAGGTCAGAAAAATGGGCTCATATATTTTCCCACAAAAACTNATCTTCTGGTTAAACAATTTTACTCTAATTTTTCAATCGATATTCATATTTTCAAACATACTCTGGAAAATGATATAACCAAAAATAGATATTTTATATATTCATACATATGCATTATTATTGTAAAGGTAAACGGATCGATCTATATAATAATCAGACAGTCACAAAAATTTGTCAAAAAAAAAAAATGATTGTTCAGTAAAAGAAGAATTTTGGACTATTATCACGAGTTAGGCTGCATTACAATACTGCAATAAATTGTAGTTGAATAGTCCGTGTGTTGATAAGATAATGGAAATTCTATAATACTAGTATGAGTCCCGTACAATGCACGGGTAAATATTCATTAATATTTATAAATTAAACATTCTTATTAAATAATATTTATAAATTAAAAATATGGAATCAATATGTAATACAATTTACCTATATTAATTTATTGAAAATGTTATATAAAGTTTAAATTGTGCGAAATTACATAAAAATAAATATTTAAAATTAGTATACAACCCATGCGGTGCACATAACTGATAATAAATTACATTATATTCGTTTCAAAATAAGTATCATTTAAAAAATTTTATTCAGAAAATCGATTTGACATTATGTGATTCCATAAAATAGTTATTTTGGTAAAATGTTATTATATATTTAACAACCTATGTGAAAAATAAATATAAATTTAAAATATATATTGTTTCATTACTTAAAATAATTTATTATTGTATAAATTATTTAAATAAAAAAATTAAGTAGTTGAATAATATATTAAACTATAAATAATTGACTATTTTGTTTACGTCTAAGTTAATATTGACCCGTAAATTATGAATAATTATATTTTATTTTTAAACTTACATAATTTTTTTTTAATTTTTTTTCAATAAATTATATACCAAATTTATACCATTCAACCAATAAAGGCAATAGCTGCAAGTTTTGTCAATATATTGTATTCTAAATTTAAATCATGCAACTAATAAAGGAAATAGCCGCAATATTTGACCAAAATGATTATGTAAATTAATTTAGGCGGAATTTTTCAAATTTTGACAAAAAATATTACTCAATATAGTAAATACTTTAGAAGGGAAACCAAATATTTTTTTGCTGATTTTTAGTTGCTATTTCAAGTAAATATCATTGCCTCTTTATATATTAATAGATTTTATAACTTTAATTAGGTTAAAATACTATTTACTTTGTTAATTAGATCAGTATAAATAATTATTGGAGACTTAAATGTGATATTTTATATGCAAATTTAACTTCTTAACTATAGTGGACGTTTGCACAGTTTTCTCTTTTAGAATTTTTATTTTATCAAATCTCTATCAATAGTTTCAATATTTTCAAATTATGTTTCCTTTAGGATTGTGGATTTGCTATTGTTATTCGTAGTTATCATTTAAAAGATTACAAATTGACATTGTGAACATTAGATTTGGGATTGTATTGGCATTATTTTTTTTTCTGATTTTTATTTAGAAAGAATCTTGAAAGTATTTTAAATTAAATATTTTCGTAATTTTTTATTGGCATAAAATAAATTGGGGAATTAATCTAATTGTTTAAATTGTATATTTTTTTTGCATAAAATAAATTGGAAAGAATTAATCTATTTTTTTAAATGAGCTAAAATTATATTTTTTTTATTATCAAACTAATCATTTTTTAATTACCACAACAATAAGATTTTAGTGTAGTTGTTAAAAAAATGAAGTGCATCTCGCATAGACATCACAAACCTAGGAAGATATTATCTCCAAGTTGGCTAATGACTCTCGGTTTTCTTTCTAAATAAACCGAAATGAAAAAGTTCAAACTTTTGAAAAATTTCGAAGCCCACAAAATTATTACTCTATTTAGTAAATTTTATTGTTTTGGCGGAAATTGAAATATTTTTTTATTGATTTTTTCTTTCTATTTTCAATAAATATCAATCATTCTCTCTTTATATATTAATAGATATCTAATTGTTGACAATTTTGTAATACTAAATAAAAGCAAAAGGATTATAATAAAAGCTAGATATTTCCATGATTTTTCTTTGGTTCTCTTTTTCTACGTGTACTTACACATCTTAAAAATGTTTTTCTACGATGACATTTCCTGCTATAACCCAGAGGAAGGTGAAAATAAAACAGTTTTCACTTAAATATGACGTTTTAGTATTTTACTAACTTTCAATTCTCAATACGATTGAAAAGGTTAGATCAGAAATAAGTAACAAGGACCAATTTAAATTAACTAAACAATTTTTTTATTAACCTGTTCTACATTTGCAGTAAAACGAATCGATTAAATTTCACCTACGAGTTAAAATGTTCAATTATTAAAAAATTTTGCTCTTAATTTTATTGATTAGGACACATTTATTTATAAGGAGATTTTCAGACCCATCACATATCATGGGTGAATACATTATCTCATATTCAAGGCCGGCTTCTTGGGGAGACAGCTTAGGTCTATGCCTAGGGTCTCTCCCCTTATATTTGGGCCCATTTTTTTTAATACTATGTATTTATGATGAGTTTGACCTATTATACAAATGAAGAGGTTAATTAATGAATGAATTAATGATAAAATATATACTTTGTGTGAAAATTTGAGGTCCTAAATATTTCATTTGTTTTCTTATGATGTTCGGTCAGAACAATTGTGTGAGAATAAACATTCTTTGCAAATTTGAGGTCCTAAATATTTCATTTGTTTTCTCATGATGTTCGGTCAGATGAATTGTGTGAGAATAAATATTCTTTGCAGTGATATGATTTTTATTTTCTTCTCCTTGTTGTTTTAATGATTGATTGAATGTAAATTATTAAAGATCTTTGTAACTCATAGGTAAATTATTAATTCAAAAGTTTAGAAAAACAAGATTTTTTTTTCAATTATTTATTTATTTAATAGTCTTTTTTAATTAGGTTTTTTTCTTCTATAACTCTATCTGCAAATAGCCTAATTTAATTACCACGCAAGTTCAAATTGGGAATTTCGAAAAAAAAAACTTGTCCAGAACCTCCAAATTTCTGGAGACGGCCCTGCTCGTATTAGTCATAAATATTAAATGTGATATATATATATATATATATATATATATATATATATATGTATATGTATATACACAAAGCTTGGACGTGGCCAAATTAAGGGACATAACATCAAATTCTATTAGGTCGTAAGCATAGCACCGTCCAAGTGACCACAAAATTATAAGCATAAGGAATGGCTTAAATTTAGTCAAAATACCAACAGTTGATCGACCAATACCTGAAAATCAAATTCTGTAATTAATTTGGCTCATTATGTAGACAGTGATATATATTGCTGCACTTTCTTCCCATTATTATGCAATAAAATTTCCAATATTATTCCAATTATCATCCACCTTTTAGATTATTCATTTATTATTTATCATTTATTTTTTCCCTCTGATAATTTTTTTGATTGTTTTTTCACATGTCACCTAGTCAAAACAAATCAAACAGCCAAATCAATATGAATAGTTACGAAATTCACACACGGACTCGTGGGATTTGATAATTACTACTAATCTTTTTACTTTTTTATTTAATTTGCTTTTAGTTTTTTAATTTGCTCNCAAACCAATAAAATTTGCATGCATGCAGGCAATTATATATGTTATATACATAACTTTAGTCTGTATAATAAAGTTGAGGTTTATATAACTTTCCACAAATGGTTATATAATATATTTGGAATCATAAATTATTGTGTGAAGTGGTCTAATCTATTAGGCAGTCGATATGTCAAATATTTTTTAACAAAAAGAAAAAGAAGAAAAAAATATATGTAATGAAATGTCATATACGTTTGCGCACATTGATTTTTAGTGTATGATATACAATTTGAAAATATAATAAAGTATGATTGTCTAACCATTATATTCCTCAATATCACCCTTGATGATTTTTATTTTCTTATAAACTCTAGAAGTTAATCCCTAAATGAAGGGGAAAATAATGAAAATTAAATTGTTATCCAACCAATTGCTCCATAAGAAATTGTTCAAAAAGGTGCAAATTTTTTAAGGGGCTAGTATTTAATGACTAAATGCTAGTTCAAATTTGCATTTAAAGGATGAACAATTTGAAAATTAATTTTTCTCAAATGGATACCAAATTATTTTAGGCTAATTATACCAAAAACCGAACATTGAGATACGGCCCAATCCAAATATCCAATCATACAAACCTACAGTATAGTTTGGGCCTGCAACCCGATTAGAAGCTTTATACGAACATAATGTATTGAGAGTTTGAGACTTGGCTAAGTGACAATGAAATATATTGGTTTTTCAAGTAAAAAATAATGCAAGGGCGAATTTAGCTCATAAACTGAGTGAGGGTTTAATTTATTTATTTAATAACTATTTATAAATTATTTATAATTAATTGAAGGATGTGAATGTTCCAAATTGTCTAAGTATTTTATTAGTTCTGCTTTTATATATCTAAGTCTCTATATCTAATAAAAAGGAGTTGGAACACGGTTCCTTCTACTATTTTTTTATTTCTTAATAGCCTCTTGTTTTGACATGTGTACTTTCACTATTGAATTGCCTAATTTGCCCTTGGTTCATTGTGTCTTTTGACCTACCAAATTATTATTATTATATTATTATTATTATTATTTTATTTCTTTCTTTTTCTTCTTCTTCTACGGTTAGCCAATGAGTGGGTTTCAACAGTTTCTCAAAAATTCCTCTTTCTTCATCTTTATACCTTCATCATGTTAGAACTTCTTATTTTTTCTGTCAAAATTGCAAATAAAATCTTGCATAAACGCCCCAAAATTTGGCAATCTCCGCCGTGCACAGAAACTTCGCCGCCGCGAAGTCGATCGGGATGGGGCAAGGCGATCGGGCTGAATCCCTGCAGCCCAAAATCTCAACTGTCTATTTCCCGAGCCGCGAAGTCCCCAAACATATACCATTCTTTTCCCCAAGGATCGTACGCTGCTCGAAAATGCGAGGGATCATATTTGCTCGGTGATCCTCCATACAAGTACAAACATAATGAAGGTAACTTTTCCTTTATTTTATATTATTTATATTTTTTTTCTATTTTTTATGTAATTTTTTTTTTTATTCTATAAATTTTAGATCAGTGATTTTGTTCATAATGGGCAGCTTTAGGTAGAATTTTAATATTTTAGTTCTCTTGAAAGTTCTCTGTGTGTCTAGATATTACTAGATATGGATTAAACAAGAGAATAAAATTAATGCATTTCTTGTGTTTAACTTATTTTATAAATATAAAATATGGTGGCTGATGTGATTTAGAATTATTTGGTCTGCAATGGTTGCAGGCTTTTATAGATTACAATCTTTCTATTTCTATTTAGACATATTTTATAAATAATATTAGCCATTAGATTTTCTTGGGATTCTTAATATGAGTTTCTTTTGGACAGCTGTGAACTTATGCTTCAATAAATTCTACCTTCACAATAATAACATTACATCTTCAAACCAAGAGTTCAACTTTTACAAAGCTTTTACAAAACGTCCGCTTCTCTCCATCTTACAGCTACAGGTATTCCTTTGATGTTTTTCTTCTCTCCATCTTTCTATCTTCTCATGAATTTTACAGATCACCTGTTTCGATCTGGCTTTAATAGATACTGAATCTTATAACTTCGATTCTAACTGTTCCCCCTCTCTTTCAAAGTCTATCAAACACTTGCAGATCATAAAAAACAAACACTAAACTAAATTAACATCACACAAAAAGTAGGAAGAGCAAAAACATTAAATGTCACAAATAACTTTTAAAATGTACTTTGCTCCATGTATTGAGAAGGCTTAATCATAATTACTTACGCATTTAGAAATACTTTCTGTAGGGGATTTAATTTTTGAATACTTAAAAAAATTACAGATTTTTTGTTTTGTACATAATGTCTATACTATAGTTTACGAGTTTTCTTTCAAATTTTTATAAAGAATAAGTAAAGGTAACCAGAAGTTCAAATTTAGTATATTGTGTACAATGCTTAGTTGATCCTATAATTATTATTTTTCAGGTTAGTCACAGTTCTTCTGTAAGTTCTGAAGTTGGTTAATTAGTATTTTCAGGTATTATTATTTTAGTTATTTTAAAAGTATTGTAGTCTTCACTTTGAATATAATCATGTTTTCTACATGTTATAATCATCATAGTTTTCTTCAATAAAACATACATATTTTACTGATTTTGTGAAGTTGTTGTTGTTGTTAGTTATGCAAATGTAACCTCAAATTTGAAGGGATAAAGTTTGAAGAAAAGGAAGTCAAAAATCGTTGTCCAGGTACGTTTTTTCTTACTACTCTTATAAAATTGGTAATTGTCATGTTATTGTCTGCATATTTTTTTCTCATGTTATTTTTCTCTCTCTCTCTTTTTCTTTTTAAGCATGTTAGTAATATTGTCTTTTTCATGTTTAGGGATATTACTATGGATAGTGAGAATTATGCTCGTAGACAATATGCACTTATTAAATGGAAAAAGAAAAAAAATGAAAAAGACGCGAAAAAAATTATATGTAACGATATCAGTTTGAACATCAATAATTATAATCAATCTTCATCCAAAATACCACTCCAATTTAAATCTTGTTTACCTGGTCAAAATTATGATGTTTTGTGGAACAATAAAATGGAACAATACATTAGAGATTGCAAAAAAAATGCCCAGATTAATAACACATCCATTAGATTGAATGAAATTAATAACTCAACAGGATACACAAACCCCATACAACCTTACAATATTAGCACTCATTCACAAAACCAGCCTATAGAAAATTTAAAAAATTCTAAAACCATATGGTCTTTTGAATCTGGCAGCATCCTTCAGACAAATTATTGCAATAACTCAATTAATATCCAACAAAGTAATAATTCTTCAAATGTAATAACTCCATCAAACAGCACATCAAACAACACACAACACAGGTAAATATTTAAATCATGCATCATACTGTTTTATATTGTTGTGTATATATATATATTCTAACTTATATTTTATAGTATCAGGAAATTTAGAAAATTTGGAAGTTACTAAAACCTGCAAAAAACGAAAAAGAACAGGTAAAGTTCTCCACTAATTATTGGTATTTTTAATATATATATATATAGCGTACTACATAATTTTTCATCCATTTGAATTTATTTTAAATTATAATAATGATAGGTGAATCACAAAGAGAAGGTAGAAATTTATTACAATGTGTATCATCCGAGCCTTGGGTGTTTAAAGAGAACCCAAAATGCATATATTGTGGAGCTGTGAGGATGCCTTATGAAAGTCCAAAATTTTGTTGTGGTGATGGAAAAATAGTTTTGACAGCCAACTCAATTCCAGAAAGTCTTAAAAATCTTTTAACGGCAACTTCAGAAGAGGTAAATCTATTCCGAACCTACATAAGAACTATTAACAATATGTTTGCTTTTACATCTCTTGGAGTCAAAAGTGATAGAGATTTGGAAAAACAAAACAAAGGAATTTATACATTTAGAATTCAAGGACAAGTATATCATTTCATTAATGATTTATCTACCTCAAAAAATCTTCAATTATATTTTTATGATACTGAAAATGAACTTTCAAATCGTATCATTGCTTGTCCAAGAGTGACTGAAAAGTATAATTGAAAAAGTTATTGATGTCCTTAAAGAAAATCCATACGGACAATTCTTTCGAGCATTAAACAAAAAAGAAAATCTTGAAAATTATCAAATAATATTGAGAGCTGCTCTTGAGCTAGATCAACGAGTTTACAATAAACCAGAGGTGTCTCAAGTTGCAGCATTATGGATAGAGGGAGAAGAAAATGGTGAGACGGGCCGTAGAGATATTAAAATACAGAGTCATGGTGGTTATACATATAATGTTGAATATTATTATGGTTGCTATGATCCTTTACAATATCCATTACTTTTTCCTTATGGCGAACTAGGCTGGCATCAAGGTATTCCTAAGATAGATACATCAAGGAGTAATTTATCATTTACTATGCATAATAATAGAAAATATATATCTCCATCATCAGTAGCTACTGCGGAAGAGTTATTAATAAGGGAACACGAAGGTTGGTATTTGTATTTAAATTTTACTTGGAAAAATAATATATTATATTCTTTTTATTCAACATATACTAACATGATATAATTCCAATGGCAGGATTAATGGGATATAAAAGTAACCCAAATTTTGTCTCTGTTCGAGAATACTATGCTTATAAATTACAAATAAGAGATCATGATGAATCTTACTTACTTCATTATGGTAGATTGTTACAACAGTATGTTGTGGATATGTATGTGAAACTCGAATCCCAAAGACTAGACTTTTATAAATTACAACAAGATGAAATAAGAAGAGAATTTTTGCAAGGTGTACAAGATTCATTAGCTGCTGGTGAAAATGAAGCTTCCAAAATTGGACAAAGAATAATCCTACCAGCATAGTTCATAGGAGGACCACGTAATATGAGAAAGAAATATATAGATGCCATGACATTAGTTCAAAAATATGGAAAACCAGATATTTTCTTAACAATGACATGTAATCCAAATTGGCCAGAAATAAAGACATTTATTTCCTAATGAAGAAGCACATAATAGACCTGATTTAACTACAAGAGTTTTTCATACAAAATTGGAAGAACTAAAAAATGATATTTTAAAAAGACATATTTTTGGAGAAGTTGCTGCTTACACTTATGTAATAGAATTTCAAAAACGAGGTCTACCTCATGCTCATTTTTTGATCATTTTAAAATCACAACATAAAATGTACAGCCCCGAAGAGTATGATAAAATTGTTAGTGCAAAAATTCCAAATAAAAGATTAAATATTCATTTATATAACATGGTAAAAAAACATATGATACATGGTCCTTGTGGTGCTCTTAATCCTCATAATGTGTGTATGTCAAGAAAAGGTAGATGCAAGAATTTATATCCAAAACAATTCTGTGCAGAAACTACACAAACTGAAGGTGCATATCCAAAATATAGACGTAGAGATAATGGTTCTAAAATAAAAGTTCGAGGACACACACTTGACAATCGATGGGTGATACCATATAATCCATATTTATTAGCAAAATTCAATTGTCATATAAACGTTGAAATTTGTTCAACTGTCCGTGCAGTAAAATATATATACAAATATATATGTAAAGGACATGACAGAATAAGCTTTCATGTAGAAACTGGTAAATCTCCTAATGAAATTGATGAAATACAACAATATCGTTCTGCACGTTGGGTATCGCCACAAGAAGCTGCATGGAGAATATTTAGATTTTCTATGGGTGAGATTAAACCAGCAGTCATTCAACTTCCAGTTCATTTGGAAAATTACCAAACAGTCAGTTTCCGCAAAAAAGATAGATTGGAAAATGTACTAAATAATCCAAGAAATAGACGAACTATGTTAACTGAATTTTCTACATGAACAGAACTGATCCTGAAGTGGCCGCCCTTAACTTAACATATGTAGAATTTCCACATTATTTCGTTTGGTTAACTGATGAAAGACGTTGGAAAAAACAAATTCAAAGAGATATTGTAGGTAGAATGAGCACAGTACATCCAATTGAAGGAGAACGTTATTATCTAAGAATTCTTTTGAAAATAGTAAGAGCACCAAAATCTTATATTGATTTAAAATCATACAATGGTATAGTATCTAACACATATCGTGAAGCGGCACTCATGAGAGGTTTACTAAAAGACGACACCAGTCAAGATAACTGTCTTCAAGAAGCTTCTCTATTTAGTATGCCGTATGAACTTAGAAGACTTTTTGCTACTATCTTAGTATATTGTTGTCCACCTAACCCAACACTATTATGGGACAAATATGAATATGCTATGTCAGAGGACTTTATAAGACAAACAAACTTGAGTTCCACTGCAATAAGAAAAAAAGTATTGCAACAAATAAGTGAATTCCTAGAACCAATGGGAAAAGATATATCATCATATAATTTAGTTCCTTCACATATGTTAGCATTTAATATGCTTAAGCAAACATGAGAAATAATAGCAGAAAAAAGTATAGTTGTAAGCGAGGAAGATCTAAATGCAATAAATCATCTAAATGAAAAACAAAAGAAAATTTTTAACATTATTACTGAAAGAATCTATCAAAAGAAAAAGGGAGCTTTTTTTATAGATGGTCCTGGTGGTACTGGAAAATCATTTTTATATAGAGCATTACTAGCAGACGTTAGATCTAAAGGATATATAGCATTAGCAACAGCAACATCAGGTGTAGCTGCTTCAGTGTTGCCTGGAGGTAGAACAGCACATTCACGATTTAAAATTCCTATACATACCTCAAATGGTAAAGAATGTAAAATTAGCAAACAAAGTAGTCTTGCTATTTTAATTAAAGAAAGCAAATTGATTATATGGGATGAGGCTCCAATGGCAAAAAAATCAAGTATTCAATCACTTAATGAACTATTAAAAGATCTAATGGACTCGAATGAAATATTTGGAGGTAAGGTTATAGTTTTTGGAGGAGATTTTAGACAAATTTTACCTGTCATTCGTAAAGGAAATAAAACTGATACTATCAATGCATGCTTGATAAAATCTGAACTTTGGGCCCTTCTTGAAAAGCACCAACTTACAGAAAATATGAGAGCTAAATATGACCCATTGTTTACTAAATTTTTGCTAGATATTGGAGATGCGAAAATAAATAACATACAAGATAACACAATTTCAATCCCTTCACCACTTTTACTAAAATATCATGACGATGATACAAGCTTGGATGAACTAATAAACTTGGTGTATTATTCAGATATTACAAATAATGACTCAAATACTCTGTCACTAAATAGAGCTATTCTAACAACTAAAAATAATTTTGTTAATGAAATCAATGAGAAACTTATTCACAGATTTCCAGGTGACATGGTTGAATATTGTAGCTTTGATGAAGTTTTAAACCCATCTGATCAAGGGCAATACGAAGATATAATAAACAGTCTGACACCAAATGGACTTCCTCCACATAAACTTTATTTAAAAGTTAACGCACTAATAATGCTCTTGAGAAATTTAGACCCTACTGAAGGGCTATGCAATGGTACGAGATTGATATGTAAAAACTTAACTCGAAATATTATACATGCAGAAATTGCAGTTGGTCAATTTGCTGGAAAAGAAGTTTGTATACACAGAATCCCACTAGAGCCACCAAAAGATGAACAATATCCAGTACCTTACAAAAGAACACAGTTTCCTGTGCGATTATGTTTTGCAATGACAATAAATAAAGCTCAAGGACAGACATTAGACTATGTTGGAATTTATTTAAAAGAACCTGTCTTTTCACATGGTCAACTTTATGTTGCATTATCACGAGCAACATCAGCATCTAAAGTCAAAATTCTAATCAAGCCACCATTTTTTGAAAAACAAAGCGAAAACCATACTAAAAATATTGTGTATACTGAAGTGCTTGAAGCATCTAAAACAAAAAGTATGTGTTTTCCCCAACTTTTTATGCAAAAATTTACTTTGTTATAATTTACATAAATTTCTATATTTCAACAGGTAAAAATGTCGAGGAAATATCTTTCAATCAACCAAGTTGATGATCATGTTGAAGGCTGGACGGTGTTAATTCAGGTGGTGGAACGCAGCCATATCATGCTCGATCGAAAAGGTTCAACTACACTTAGACGTCACCTGTTAACTGATTCAGAGGTAATATACAAGTTTTCAAATAGTATAGTCTTACTTTGAAAACAAAAAAAAATAATTAGTATTTTCTAAAATGTTTATTCAGGGAACTTTAGTTTCAGTCACCATATTTGGAACTCACATCAAACATTTTGACAAGAACAAGAAATTGCTCCCTTTCAAAAGATACTACATTTCAAATGCAAAGGTTAAGGAAGCTGAACCCATGTACAGAGTTGGCAACTATGCTTATAGTTGGGTTCTATATAGCAATAACTTGGTTGAGGAATTGGAGGAACCCATCCCACCAAATCTTCCATGTCACATTGAACTCAGCAAATTTGAATACCTTTTTAAACATGCAGAAGCAGAAAGGCTACTGAGTATGTACAATTTTTTTTTCTTACTAATATTGCCAAAAAATGTCAGTAAATCTTATTGGTTGACAACAATGATAGTAAGTATTATTATGTTTCAATGTGAAACAGATGTTATGGGAGTAATAGTTCATGCTTTTCCATAAAAAAAAAACTTGGACTCAACCACAAGAGAATTTCATCATTGTGAATGAAGAGTATGTCGCATTAAATTTGTTCTTAGTGTTATTGTTGTTATTATTTTTTATTATTACTACAATTAATAAATCTAGCCCATTGACTTATCTCTGTGACATTTGAAAGAAAACGCTTGATGCTGCTCACTTTATGGAATGAATTCAATACTGAAGAGGGGACCCAACTTGCAAATGACATAGAAAACTCCAATGTCATCATTGCAATGAGAGTCAAAGTCACCACATATAACGGCAAACTTTTTTTCACATACTATTTAGCCTTATATCTATATGAAATATTTTTAAAATAAATAATTGTTATTGTTACACAATATATAATATGTATGCATACATTAGGTCTCTCGCTTTCTACAATACCCACAAGTGGCATCATGATCAATCCACCAATGCCACAAACAACTGACCTAAAGCAATGGTAATCAAGTTAATTTTGCAAATAATTTTTTCATATGTCGTTTGTTGTGCAAATCAAAATATTAATGCCAAATATTCAACAGGTACACGGAGAATCGTTCTTTTGTGGTAAACAGCATAAAGGCAGGCACTTATAAAGATCCAACAATTTTGTTCTCACCTCCTGCCGACCAAGACATTTTAGACATTGAAACAGCACTAGCTATTTTGAAGGATGTAAGATAACTTGGAAAATAAATGTTCCATTTTTTGTTCTTCAGATATCCGATATGCTTATACAAATTATAATGTTCGTCTATAGGAAAAAACTGCTTGGGTAAAAGGAACTCTAAAACTAGCAGCCAATCATCGCTCGATGTGGTTTAGTGCATGTGGAAACTGTCAAAAGTCTATTAACGCTCCTCTAGATTGGAACATAAAATGCCCAACTTGCAACCAAGAAACCACTGTGACAGCAAGGTACAATTTTTACATTAATGTGATACAAGTCTATAATAATAAATTTTCTGATATTGAAAACAACTGTCTTTCATGATACTTGTAGATGTCGTCTCAAGATAATCATTTGTAACGAAACAGCAAAAATGAATGCATATCTCTATGGAAAAGATGCTGAAAATCTGATACCTTTCACACCTTTGCAATTAAAAGAAGCAGAGCTCCAGGTATAACTATTACCTCTTATTTCTTATAATAAGCTGTTTGATCATTCTACACGTGTCCATGGATATGAGTTGGCGACGATTATTGCGATTTGGATAATTGTTTGTCTTACCTAACCTTTTACTTTTATGTTTTTTCTTGGTGGGTTTTTGAGGATGTTTTAATACAAGTCATGGATAAGCATTTTCAATTGATGACTTTGTAAATTGTTGCTCTTTTTGTCCCTGATTTGGGCTTGCAAGAAAGCATACAAAAACCATATTCAATTGATGGCTTATTTGATGCATATCACTATAACAGCTTGAGACTGCAATATCATACAAGTTATGTTGATAAATGCAGTGCCTTATTTGCTACTTAATTCACTGGTGAGGCATTGTAACAAAAACACAAGTAATGATTATAATCACTGTACAAAAGTTGCTATCAGGATTTTTCACCTAAATTCACAAAAGTAAGAGATACATAAAAGAAAAAATAAAAAAATCCACAGTATTTTTAAAATACATATGAAATTGTCAATTTGAATTCTTTATTAATAATGCCCTCTTCTGGTGAAATATCTTTATGGTCTGTGTATTATTATTCTCTTAGTTATAATGAAATTAACCTTTGTTCCTTGAAGTAAACCTTATACTTATAGCCTGTGTTTTATATAATTCTCTTACTTACGATAAACTAACCTTCGCTCCTTGAACTAAATTTTATAGGGGCGGAGTACTTATGCTGAAGTGGCAGCTGCAATAGGGAAAAAAGAAGTCATTTGTTTTGTTCGCCATTACAGCATTGACTCTCCCAGAGCAAGTAATCAAGAAACAGGTAGCCAAGTCGGAAATCACCACAGGTACACCGTTATCAAACTGTACACAGCAGAAGAAACTCAACAGAGAAAATTAAACCACTTGGTTGATCCTTTTGATACCTCTGGTCATGGGAAGTCTATTGCCAACATTAACTCAAGTGGTTCATCGAGTCAGCAGATTGCTTTTGACAACTTCATTGATCAGACTATGCAAGAAAAGCAATGTTTCAGCCCTACTACAAGCAAAGTGTTGGAAGCAACTGCTGGAAATGTAGAGGAAACTTCAGCTTCAAAAAACCCTAAACCCACAGCAAAAAGACCTCTTGCTTACACAGATGATGTAATGGAAACAGATCTCCCGACAAAAAACACCTGCACCACACAAAAAACCACGAGAAAAGAATGACTGAACCACTAACTACCCAAGATCTTCAGCATGGTAGCTTTTGTGTTATTAAAACATCATTTTGCTAATGCTTTTTGCTATATTAGTGTTATTAAGCAATCACAGTGCTTAATAAATGCTAATATATTTGTCAGTTACTCCTTTTGTTATGTATCTATATGATGTTATACTTTTAATACTCCACTTTATCAGCTGCTTCTTTTGTTGTATATATGTAATGTGAAATGCAAGAAATGCATGTACTACATAACTAATTGGCTATGTTTAATTAAGGTGTTTCTTCTTTTGCATAAAATAAGCGTATCCTCGTGAATCGTGATTAGTCATTGTAGTAAATGCATGTTCAAGTTTCTTTGCTTCTTTATACACTTTTTTGCAATAACTGTTGTAAATGTGATCCTTTGTCCAAGTATGATTTTTTTTTATTTTTATTTTTTTTGTAATATTTACTTGAGTAAGAAAATATATAAAGAACTATGGCTTGATATGCAAGAGAAGCTTGTTTTATATATAAATGTCAAAATTTTAATTGCTTAAAAGTACTTATAAAAAAATATATTTGTATTATGGTTTAAATTATCTCATCAAATTGTTTCCCCATATTAATTCAAAATTAAACACAATAAACATTTCTTATTAAAATAAAACATAATGGACATAACGTGGGCCTGGCTGTGCTGTGCACAGCCGCTTTCCCTAGTAAAAATGAATATACATTATATTATATATCTAAAAATATTATGATGTTAAAATACCAGCTCAATCGATTTAACCATTGGTCTAATCAATAAACTATTAAATTAGTAGGTTAATGGTCATCGATTTGATTAACGACGAATTTTGACAACCTTTAAAAAAAACTAAAAACGAGAGATTATTTGAAGAAAATATTCACAATAAAAAATGACACGATCACGGGGTCACCCGGAGTCAATATGACGATTTTGATAACATTGAATAAAGGAATATAATAATTACATGAATAATTAAAAAGTTTTCCCGACACAACTAGGTGCATGAACTTAAATATTTTCCAAAATAAATCTTGAATCAAGGCAATATTTGTTAATTGCTTTTTTGGGTCTATATAGTACTCTACTCAATCATGGTGTATTTTATTATAATTTTGTAAGACTAATTAGCACGTAATCTTTTGTAGGCTTGGGACCGATCTGGTTCCTAACGAATTTTTCAGGAATCGGAACCAGAACCAAACTGAAATAACCGATTCGGTTATTACACATAGATTCATAGGAATCGAAAAATAACCGAACCATGTTATACCGGTTCGGTTTTTCCGGTTCTTCGGGTAACCGACTAATGAAAAAACCCGATAATAATCGGTATTGAGTTAATAACCGACCAAAAAATTGCAACTTATGTGCTAAATGTATCATGAAAAACCGATAACCGAAATGAAAAATGAGGAATCGAATATTATACACTAAGAACCGGAATCGATTTATATATGTAAACATATAAAACACGTATATTTCATATATATAGTCGGTTTTTCGGTTAATTCACAAATATTTGGAAAGGAACCGAGAACCGGAACCCGTTTGAGCAAAAAATAACCGGAACCAAC